CTAAGAACCTAATCGTACAGGAATTTATTTACATCCGATTCTCCGCTGAATGAGAAGATTAAAGTGACCGACTTTATAATCCGGCTTATCATCCTCATGTTGAATGGAATATGCTTTTGGAGTATGGTGTGGACCATCATAAGGCCATATTTCTTTTTCTTCTTCTGAGGATTGCTTATTCAGATCTTTAGCCGAAAGTATAGACTGGATGAAACTTCAGATGATCAGGGTCAAGCATAGAAATCTAAAATGTACTAGAAAAGAAAAAAAGGTGCTATTTGAAAGAGAAAGATTTATACGCATAGAACTTGCATCATGGATGAACTCAAGTGACAATGACAGTCACTGTTTTCCTTGGAAATTTATGGGATGTAAACAGAAATTTGTGACTGCTAATTTTACACATCACTGTAGCCAATTGGGAAACAAACTTCTAACATAGTGTACCACCATATTGTTCAGACAAAATCAGACCACAAAAAAAAAAAAAAAACATATCAAACTATTTTCTTGTTTTGTGTTACATTTACTGACTATTTCAAAGTCCAAAGCTTGAAAATAAAACAAGGGTTTTGTGTTCATTAATGTCTATGACATGGATATAGATTCCTAACACTGCTGCTTTTCTATCCATAAATTGCATAATACACGACTGATGCTAGAAGAATAATAAGTTCCAGGGAGCAAAATTTTCACATATCAAAGTTTGCCTCCTGCTAATCATTCGAGCGTGTAAAGCAATACTCTATTAGTTTCGTTGAACAGTTTGACGGGATGCTACCAGTAATCAATGAAGTTGAGGTTGGTCTCTCTGGAGATTGCAATGTTTGTATGAGGAAACTAACATGCATCTTTTAAACCGAAAGGCGGGGAAAAAGAACGAAAACAAAGCTTTAATTTGAATCCTTTTTGTTCCTTGACATTTCTGTCTTTCTTTTCCAATTCGCATGAAGTAGCAGACCGAAAGCGTTTTCTGCAGGTAGAAAAGACTTTTAAGGCTTTTCGCGTAATTAAGTTGTTGCTTTCGTCGACATGTCTCTTGAACTTATTACAATGTGAGATAGGTTGCGTTAGGGACCAAAAAAGATACAGATCAAAATTTTTATGGAATATGTCTTAAACTTTTATACATAGGGGAGTAATTATGTTATAATTATTTTCTTTACACCTTTTTTTCTTTCCTTGTTTCTCCTAAATGGTGACTCAATTTCTTGTCGTTTTTTTTTTTTGTTAAAAAAGGAAAATCAATAATAATGATTCTCCACTTATTTCTTTACCAACTTCAACAGTCAAATTAACCTTGAGTAGATGGAATGCAAAACTTAAAAGATCTATAGAAGCTGGCTGTAACACAATTTTATAGACGATAAAAAATAGAACAAGGGAATTAATTAGAAGAAAAAAAACATCACATATTTGCTAACATTCTTCTTGACAATAATATAGCAATTTCCTGTTCGATTAATCCAAAGGCCTATTTTTGAACTTCTCTTTGGAAAATGAATATTCAAGAGCACTTATGATGGTCCAAATTATGTAGACAGTTATTGAAATTTTTATTCCCTTTCCGTGAAACAGCAAGAGTTCTACGTCTCCCACCTTCTAGGGGCGGTATGGCTGTCTAAGCTCTTAAACAATTAGCATTTTTTTTTGTGAGTTTCATCAACTTTTCTCCCCTCTTCCTCCCAACAGCCCAATCGATTCCGAACATTTTCAAGGCATGGATGTATTCTTGTTGTTTTTTTTTTTTTGGATATATTATAGCTTAGTTTGACACTACATATTATCATCATATTTTTTTAGTTAAGTTGACTAACATAATTGTCCTTGTTTTTGTTGTGAAGTTACCGACTAAAAACCTAGCTAAGTTGTAGTACACAAGTACCACCCAAAAAAAAATTGATAATAATATCACAGCGGGCGAAAGTACCAAATTTCAGATTATATCTTTGAATTGATCTTCTGGGGTGAAACAATTTTCTAACACCCAATTCATCCCCTCCCTGACTTTGAGCGAGCTCAAATCCATATATACCAATGTGAATAAGAAGATGTTTCAAGGTCTAATTAATCAAGAATGATTCAAGTTCTAGTTAATCAAGAATGACGTCATACCCATAAATACCCATTTATGTAAGTGAAAAGTTTATAAGTGAAGATGTATAAAAATTGATTCATGTAACCTAAGTATAAACTTTGTCGTAATAGCTTATCTATTTCTCAATAAGTATACATATGATATCTTGAAAAAAAAAAAAGGATAAAATATCAAAAAACTCTTTGTGGTTTACTAAATGTTTAATTTAACTCTCTCTGGTTTAGAAATCTATACTATAACTCCCTATGATTTCAGTTAATTTGAAAATTGGACGGAAAGCATCCAATCTAACGGTTATACGTGAAATATCAATATTACCCCTATATAAATGAATTCCCTATAGTTTGTGGAATGTTCAATTTAACTCCCTCTAGTTTGAAAAATTGCACTATAACTCCTTGTGATTTTGACTAAATTAAAAATTGAATGGAAACTTCCTATGATTTGTCGAATATTCAATTTAACTCCCTCTAATTTGAAAAATTACACCATAACACTTTGTGATTTTGACTAAATTAAAAATTGAATGGAAAGCATCTTACATATAGTATGAGCAATATTGACATTTTACATACAACAGTTAGATTGAATGCTTTCTGTCTAATTTTCAATTTAGTCAACACCACATAGAGTTATAGTTTAGGTTTCCAAACTAGAAGGGGTTAAATGGAACATTTACCAAACCACAAGGAGTTTTTTGATATTTTATCCAAAAAAAAGACTAGTCAATTGTAAAAATCTCCTCTATCCATAGCTAATCATTCTTTTCCGTATGGTAAAAATGGGGTTCCTATTTAGGAGGCCTAAGTCCTAACAATAACCTTGAAGTTGTTCACCCGCTTTAGAGAATTTAGCTCATTTTAGGCCTTTTAAAATTTTTTTATAACATTTCGTCATCACAATTAAGAGGGTTTATTGCATTTATGATGGACAATTCCAATGAATTAATGCTTTTTTGTTACTACTATTTTCCAATTAAAGCAGAAGAGAAGAGACGAAAAGGATACAAGCAAATAAAAAAAAAAAGGCACAGGTGATATTTTCCCCTTGACGGCTATTAAAATAACTAGAGATGCAAAAGAGAAAAAACAATAACTCGAGAAGTGTTATTTTGACAAGAAAATGTTATTTATGCCAAAAAAGGCATAAATGATATTTTGACAAGTAATCCTTCGATTCTGGAGTAAAGTGTATTATGACAAGAATTCAAAAACAGCAACCCCATTCTAAAGTAGAATTGATAAAACTTCTAAATAAATTAAGAAAAATGTTATTTGCATTCTTAGTTTTGTTAATCACACTCCCACTATCATTTTAATCATTCAGTTTTTATTTATTACACTATATGATAAAACAAATAATGAGTCTGCAAGTAAGATTACCTATAAAATAATTCGAAATGCATGACAAAAAAAAATAGAAAAAGGAAAGCAGTAACACTACATATATTTAAATACATGGAAAAAATACTTCTAGAGTGATACATAAGACCTACGTACGAATACATACACATAATCATTTTTTTACTAGCATTTAATATCTACAAAAGAGGCGAGTGTAGAGATGAATTTGGTGGTACGGCAGAGGGAATGTAAGTGAAAACTCTCGAGTAGGAATGGCAATGGGACAGGGTGCTGCCTACTAATTCCCCCCACGCCCTGCTCCTCTTGCCCCACGCCTAGCCCTACCCCGCTTCCTCTGCGAAATTAATAAAAATTTATCATATAATTTCATTATAGTCAAATTTTAGCAAATAATCAAGTACTAAAGTATGAACACATTACCAATTTATTATCCATTGTAATTTCACGATTGAAAGTCATAAAAACAATTCAACAAAAGTTATTTGAATACAATCCAACATGATGAAATAAATACAATTAAAGTAGTCAAGATTTGACTTTTGACAAAAATACAATCACTAAGTCATTAGTTTTTTTTGGAGAAAAAAAGTGTTATTGTGTTAAGTATAATTAGAAATTTAGTATAAATGTATTAGTAAATTTATTATAACGAATTAATAATTTCTATTAGTAGACATGTATAATTAATAATATCAATTATATTATATATATTAATATACATTATATAATATATATATATAATTAATAATATCAATATTAGCTCCCCACGGGGCAGGTACCCATCCCAATTGTATTAGAAGTTAGAACCTCCCTCTTGCACTAAAAAAAAAAAAAAAAGAGTTTAAAAAGGAAAAAAAAAATACGTCGCAGGCAGGAGTATGGCAAAGCTGGCCATTGGCCACGAACGAGCCCTGCCCGTAACGGGGCTTTATATTCTGTTTTCTGGCTGGTACGATAACCCGCCCAAGAGAGTCCATCGCTTTGACACCACTTCCTCTACTACTACTCAGTACTCACCCAAGAGAGTTTCCATCAATCCCTCACTCTCCTCTCTGCTCTCTCCCACTCTTCCTTTCTCCTCCTGTCCGCTATCGAACAGGACACCCTCGCCACACCGTCCCGCTACCCTTTACCACTCACTATTCATGGCATAAACCTATAAAAGTAGAGCTCTCTTGGCTTCTTTCATTCCCAATTTCCTCCTGCAACTGGCTTTTCCCCTTTCTTTTTTCTCTCCTACGTCTAGTGCATGAGGGAATGGTAGTAAAACTGACTATTAATTACACGACTCCGAAGCTCTTTATTACTGCTATAAATTTGATCATATTTACTCGAAGATGAAGCAAAGGATTATTACGAAAGCAATAGCGAGCATGAGGAGGCTTTAATGGCTAATGCCAACAAACGGCAACCGTTCATCCTCATCCTCAAGACTTCAACAACGTTTTCTCCTCTTCTTCTTCTTCTTCTTCGTCAGGATCAGCATCAAATTAATAGAGAAGAGCTTCAAGACAAGAAAACACACACTAGCTCACATAGTGGTGTCGTACGATCATACATATACACATACACATACACATATATATACACCTGTTTGATCCTTAGTGTGTCCCTCCTCATCATCCATCCCAATAACAAACTCGTCCATCGTACCACCACCAAAACCATTTCCGTTCTCCACCCCAGTCCTAACAGTCCTTCATCTCTCACACTCTTTTCCTCGTCTCATGTTTCCCGTATGTTTTATGTATTCTCAGTCATCACTACAGCAGCTGCTCCTCCACCCCCTTATTTTTCGTACTACCTTAGTACTAATCATCTCCTACTCCCTATTTCTTTTGTGCCCTTATCATTACATCCTCCTCCTTATGAACAGATTATCCTCGCTTTTACCCAAAAAAACTACTAATATCAAGACTAGTACTTCCTCCAGTACTATTAATCACCGTCCTCGCCATATTCTTAGCCAACTCTCCTCTATTTTCTCCTTCTTCAGCCTAAAATCCACCTCATCGCCAGAAACCAACATGACCGCCATGAACTCCACCACCTCCAACAACTCCTCCTCCTCCTCCATTCACCGCCGTCAGAAGCCGAAAAAGCTGGTGGTCGTTATGGGCGCCACTGGCTCTGGAAAATCAAAGCTCTCGGTCGATTTGGGAACGAGGTTCTTTCCCAACTCCGAGATCGTCAACTCGGATAAAATCCAAGTCTACCGTGGCCTGGACATCGCCACCAACAAAATCTCAATGCATGACCGAAGAGGAGTCCCACATCATTTCCTGGGCGAGTTTGACCCGGAAACCGAGTTCACCCCGTCCGATTTCCGCGAACTCGCTTCAAAAACCATTGCGCAGATAACCTCCAGGCGAAACCTCCCGCTCATCGTCGGCGGGTCCAACTCCTTCATCTACTCCCTGCTGGCGAAGCGGTTTAACTCGGAGACCGACGTCTTTGACGAGTCCAGCGCGATAAACTCAGTGTCCTCCGAGCTTCGCTACAGCTGCTGCTTCCTGTGGGTAGACGTTTCACTGCCCATTCTCAACGAGTACCTGGACAAGCGAGTTGACGAGATGCTTGACTCGGGGATGTACGAGGAGCTGGAGGAGTATTTTGCTCGGGAGGGTTTCGCTGAGTCTGAGTCCGCGAGCCGGACGGGGCTGGGGAAGGCGATTGGGGTGCCGGAGTTCGAGAGGTATTTCAAACGGGTCGGGCTGGGTGGTGGGGCGGATGGTTCGGAGGTGGAAAAGCGACTCTCATATGAAGAAGCCGTGAAGGCTGTCAAGGAGAACACGTGTACGCTGGCGAAGAGGCAACTGGAGAAGATCCAACGACTGAAAGATGCCGGGTGGGACCTACATAAAATAGACGCCACGGAGGCATTTCGGGCAGCTATGGGGATGACGTCAGATTCCGGCAAGAGGGCGTCGGATATTTGGGAAAAAATGGTGGTGGAACCAAGCGCGAAGATCGTGAAGCGGTTCTTGATGGAGTAGGTTTTCCAGCGGTTTCCAGCTCTGAAGCCTCAACAATCTCTCTCTTGTTTGTTAAGCACTATATGTTCTCCATCTTCTTCTTCTTCTTCTTCTTCTTTTTTTTTTTTTTTTTTGGGTTTTCAATTTTACATTTCTTTTTTCCCTTTTTCCTTTTTTTTTTTTTGGTGTAAAAGCTTTTTTTTTCTTTCTTTTTTAAATTGGATGGAGTTAATTTCAGAATTTGGCGGCCAATTTTGGCGGAATATACAGGACGCCTTCTGACAAAAAGTGTGCTGGGCTCTGACGGTTGAGGTGGAATTGGCGGTTGTGGCGGTGACGGTGGGGTGGTGTAGCTTTGGCCGTTGTTGCAGATATTAGGCCTAACTTTATAAATACAGAAATTCTGAACAAATTCTCCTCCTATCTTTTTTTGTTTTTGTCTTTTATTTTGTTTGTACAAACAAATGTGGGGTGGACAATCCAAATGGGGCAGTGCTGTTGGCACCATATCCGCGAAATGGGGTGACTTTTGAAAATTAACAAAATCCCTTAAGATGGATGATATGAAGATTAGTGGATGAAGGAGGCCTTGGAATTTCTTGAACAGAGGTCCCGATCCAGTAATCAACAGTTTAAAATGAAATCATCGATTAAAAGGGGAATGAATGAATGATAAATGTGGATTAGAGTTTAATAAAAACACAGAGAAGTTGTGATCATCAAGTTCTCAACCAAACATAGAAGATTTGTCTAATTAAATCACCCTCTTACAAGCTGACGTTAACTCTGAGAACAAAGCCAAGCTGAGCTGAGCTTACAGGAAATGGGGTGCGGTTGTTGCAGATGCATACAAATTTTGCCTTTTTGAAAGAGTTCCCCATCCTTCCTGCGTCGGCGGGCAGAGACGAATTGAAGGCCCCCACGGCTGAACAATTTCGGATCCCCAATTTAATTGAAAGGAAATGGTGAAAAACAAAAAACAAACAAAAATGAGAGGTGTCCCCTACCTACTCAACACTGCATGCACACCTTCTTATAAGCAAAAATCAATCGGTACCCTTTTGGTTTTAGGCATCAAACGTCGTATCCCTTAGGATTTTAACTCTATGGGTTACTGATTAATGATCAAGCCACAAATTATGGAGCCCATTTGTTTCTTTTACCTCGTCACCTTTTTATTCTGCGCACGTCAAATTATTATAATATATTTTTTTTAGAAAAAGAAAAAAAAAAAAACAATTCAAATGGGCTTGTTCTGCATCGAGTTAAAATATTGGGTGCATTTGACTATAGGCAATTTAAATTTATCAACGCCAATATTGGATGGAGAGAATAAAGTTCATGAGCCATGATAAAATTTTGGGAGTGCTCAGAGCACTAATGCAACTGACGGTACGAAATTTACTCAAATATGTTCCTTTTAATAATAATAGGATTTGGTGGTGTCTGTCTTTTTTTAGCTACAGTTTGGCCTTTAGTTTAGCCAAAGTACTGCTTAATTATAATGAGCATTTGTGGTCATAATTTCCTTTGAAGGACTGGACTGTCTATGGTCATAATTGGATGCCATATTTTCTTAATATTTTTGTCCCTGATTAAGAAGCTGCTTAATTAAGTGATACTTTCTTTTACATTAATTACGTCTAATTGTCTACCTCATTTTTTTTTTCAATTCAAAAAAAAAAAAAAAAACTTGTTATACCCTGTTTCGCTAATCTTGTTTTCCTTTTTTTCTGGTACACATACGTTTAAACTTGTCATGCAATGGGATTCTTTCAATTTTTAATCATAAGATTCCATATTAATTTAAGCAAATTTGCTCAAGACGATTACATCGAAAGTTCTCTTGATAGAAAAAAAAAAAAAATTGAGTCCGCAAGAAAGGGAGAATATTCTATTCCGAAATTTCCTCCTTTCTTTTGTTCCGTCTCAATTAAGCGAAGTTCATTTTCAAGGATGAGTCAAAACATGCGTTAAGAAAGGTAAACAGCTAAAAATTCATGGATGTATGTAGTTGGAACAAAAATCAAAATTTTGGTAAAGGGTCAAAAGTCAAATAGTTTTTTTTTCGTTCTTTCAAATTGTTGGAAAAGGAGTATTCAAATATTTGGACCTCAGGAGTCCACAAGTCGTTTTAGGTGTAGAACAACACCAACCTAGCCAACGAGATTTAATGGAATAGGAGTGTGGTCCTAATCCTACTAAACTTCCATTAATTTGTGCTTCTTCTTTGAGGTGCAAGAGGGGGGAACTGTGTTTCTTCCACCAAAGGCAAATTCCTTGTATTGTCCATTTTAAAAATGTAAATGAAGCTCCATAGATGGGGAGTTGGGACTACTGACATTCTGTCAATTTTCTCATCTAGAATGGCACTTTCTCTTCATTGGATTTGTCAATTTGGAGAACTGAGGAGGTCAATGTAAAACAAAAACAAACCTTTCCAAGTCACTTCTTTGAAAAATCGAACTTACTTGAGCTGAAAGTCTCCTAAGGTTTGAAAAAAAAAAAGGGGGGGGGGGGGTTCAAGATCATACACAGAGAAAATTTTTTCGATTGGGATTTGCCGACAGAGTATTTCCACAAGTAAAATCATGATGCACGGTTAAACACTAGGTCACATTCCACAGTAAATTTTCTATTTTGGTACAAAAGAAACAACTAGCTAGCAGCAAGAATAGAGAGTAGCATGCAGTTCTGAGTCATCCATCACAAGGTAATATCAATAAGGACTTCAGGCCAACAGCGTAAGTTGTAGAATGAACGTCTATCTTTAAGTCTGGCTTTTGCATCAACTCTTCAATTGGAAGTTAATGTTATAAAACAAAACACTGTTGTACTAATGTGGGTGTTTGTGTAAACTTTCAATGGATTAAGCTCATTAACTAACTAAAGTTGATTAAAAACAAAAAAAGGGTTAGTCCAAGAGATTATTATGCCAACTTTTATTATCCAAATCCAACTTTACTGATCTTGAGCATGGAAAAAAGAACTTGTCGCTGATTGAACACTAGATAGAAGAGAAATCAATTATTTCAACAATAGCTTCATTTCTGTAAGGTAACTTGATGGTGGAAAAGACGAATAAGAAATTATGTAATCTCCCTTCTTGCACTTGTTTAACAAGAAAATCCAGCTTTATTTATCAGTTTTAATAACTGATGGGGAGTGGTGCAGAGACAATGCTCCTTCTATGGTCGATTAACAAGGGGACCAATGTACCCGAAATCTTTCTTTACTTGCAGCTTTCCTGGCAAGGTGATGGAGAAACCTTACATCAATTTGAAGGCTGTGTGATCTTAAATTTTTCCATGGAGGCTAGTTGATAAAGTTTTCAAGTGATGTTCATGTGGGAATTAATTTAAAAAATAATGGGTGGAATTGTCCCATTTTGGTATCCATGGCCTCTTGGGATTGGCTAGACGGACGCGACGCTTGGAATTACGTCTCATTTTCTGTTTTCCTGCAGTACTTCCAAACCTCAAACATCAACGTTTGGAACATGAGATTATCTTAATTAAACACCTACAATGCTTCATGCTTATGATAATTTAGATTAATAACCAACGGACCACAAAGCCCAGCAAGCCATGCATCTTAAGAACGAGTCACCTATACATGATAGGTGGCCAATTCTCGTAGTCTTTCCTCCCTTAATTTTGGTGCACTGAAAACGATGGGATTCAATGCATGCAAAGTTGTAGCTGTTCAGGCTTTGGACAATTGTCGCATTGCCAATTATAGGATGGAAGGGACAAGCACTAATGTCCAAGGTTATGAACCTTCCAGCCAAAAATAGAAACTCAACCCTTCAATTCTATCATGTCATTGTCTCCTTAACTCCAGAGTTAAATTTCTTGAGACGCACAGCTCCTGGTACTTGAGAGGGACCAAACTACATTGCACGGACGAGGTCGCTATCACATTTGATTCCTTTTTTGTGTTCCCTGATTCCATTTTTCTGCATGATTGATTATCAGTTTCCTAAATAAGCAACCTACGCTTGGATCGTACTGCAGATGGAATGGTGTATTCATTTGATACCAATCATAGGTAGGTCCCATTCTTCTGTTCTATGCATCAATATCTCCACCTCATTTTTTTCGAAGCATGAGCTTTAGGATGAAGACCCTCGAATCGTGAGGTTAGATTCTGGAATCAGACATGGGATCTCTTGGAATTGAATGGGCAACGACCTTACTGATTGGGATTTATGGTCAACTGTCGAATGCTAGCTTAGATCCTCTTCATTCGATGCATTGATCGAAATCTTCCAAATTAAAGCTCGGATTCAACAATGTCGAGAAGATTTGTTCGTCCAAAGCCAATAGTTTATTTTCAAGGCCCTCGTGAGATGCTTTGAAGCATTTGATACCATTTGATTTGACTGATGAATCATCAGTATCTTTGTTGTGCAGTAGTTCTAGACCCCGTCAAACGAGACCTGGATGACAACTGGTTTTTATGTCATGAACAGGTTTTTATATGTGCAGTGCAATTCAGATCAAATGCCATTTGGTTAGTTCCAGAAATAAGCAATAATCTGCCGATCTAGCATCGATGAGTTGGATGATAGGTGAATAACCAATGGGCCATGGTTTGATTTCTACATATATGCAAATAAATGCATGCATCTGACCGTAAACTTCTCTAGACAGACATTGAAATGAAACCCCGCTTGATAAAAGAAAAAGTTGATCTCATGATCATATCAGAATAGTGCACGTTGAGCTTCTAACTGAGAGTTCACTTCATGACAGTGATGACATGACAAATAGACAAAGATCGATCATGTCCAATTTTTTGGGCCAAATGAATAAACATTTTTCAAGTAAGATTTGATGTTAAAATAGTAGCATGCACGACTTACTTAGACTTGCTCATAAGAAGCTATACAGCATATGCTTCCATCATGAACTCGAAAGCTTCGAAGAGACAAAAAAATGAGTGTGTTCTCCACTCCTAAGTCATATTGAAGACATAGTTTTGTTAACATGAAATTTAAAATATGAATGTGATTATCGTTCTAATGACTAAGTATGGGAGGTGGACCCAATATTGGCGCATGCCTCA